TACATTGATTTTGGCTCAATCTGGGCTTGCCTTACATCGAAGATATTGACAATGTTAATAAGTATGACAGAAGCAAGCTTTTTATTTGTATGCATTTGTTATGGAATGCCACCAAAATAAGTCAAAAGAACCTAAAGCGTATCCGTTTTAGCACGGGAAACTGTTGTCCGAAGCTGCTCGGATTCAAATGAATCCGTATTTTAACGAATCTCATTTATTTTCAGAAACAAGGAACTATTGCAGGTTAACTGCCACAAATGCGGTATAAACATGGTTTGGCCGCATTTTGTTACACCACATCAAGTATTTTAAACGCAGCCCATATATTATCTTCAAGAATTTAAACCAATTATTATAAAAACGAAGTTATATAGAAAGATACTTTTGTACATTATGATTTCCGCATTTGTGTAATTTAATAACGGATGAGATATAAGTTTAATACGTATTGCTACATTTGGGTAGAAATTTCGCGACAATTTTGTTGATATTCGCAGGCTGAGAACAGAGCCTAGAAGTTATCCACTATCGTAGAATGTATTACATTGTAAACAGAAAAAAAGGTATTTTCACCTTCGGCTAAATTGTATCTAGTAAATTAAACAACTTGTCAAAATACTCGACTGTTTTACATTACCTTGGAAAAAAATAACTTGCATAGATATCACTCAGCTGAATAGTTAATAAAAGTGCCTTTTAAAAAAGTTTACCTAGTATAGACAGTTGTTTTTATTAATATTAATATCATAAATATCTCGTCCTTTGTTTACGTCCTTTTTGCTCGAAAATATTTTTTGCCATATCTACATAAAGAAAATTTCGGTACTTTTTATGACATATCCGCCGTACTGTATTAATATTCGCGTATATTCTAAATGAAAATAAATAAGAGATTTCGGTCCTTTCATGCGATTCTGCATTTCTTAGTGCATAGGACATTTTTTAAACTAACGCAGTTAAAATCACTATATGTTTCAGACACAATATCACCTCTATAATTTCCAGGTTCTTAGAAATTATTTAGTAATTGTTATTTCTGTTTTGCTATAGGTAGGCTCAAATTGTCTAACCTATATACTGATTTTTCTACTCTTGGTAAAATATAGTCATGTTCAAATAAAAAAATGACTGTTAGGCACATCTGCTGGTGAACTTTTTCATCAAAAACAGGCAGGTAATGTTTGCTCCGTGATAAGGCAAGACCGCCTTGTATAAAAAAATTGCAGTTCATCTGGCTCCATATCCTTATTTCGATTTTCAAATTGTAGCAGGTTTTGGAAACAATAAAGTACTCTACTCAACCCGGGGTAACATAATCGGATTCGACTAATGTTTGTCCCAACACGCGTATACATTATTAGTTTACAATTCTTAAATTGATAATTTTTAAGCAATATCTCGATAGTCCTAATTAGAATGTGCACATACCTTTCCTGAGTATATAATACTCCTTATTTCAAAATGGACATATTTCAGTTACGCATATGTAGGTCGTATTTACGCTCAAGTTACTTTTTCCACAGAACATACTTTTTCAAGTACTGGTTTCAGTGGCTTG